GTAGTGCCTGATAAGATCTACAATTTACAGAAATTAGCTCAAATTGTTTCAAATGCCACCCAACAACAGGGGCAGCAGCAGTACACTCGTAACAACTGGATATCCCACACACAGATGCTGCGCCTCAAATTGCAATTCTCTTGCCCCAATCTCCCAGCTGCCTCTGCCCCGCGCGCGCTCTCTCTTTCTCCTTCTCTCTGTCCCTCTCGAATTCTCGTCTTTCTTTACGCTGGTCACACGCAGTGCGGGTCCAGCCCCATCCAGAGCTCTGTAAAGTGGCCAGTTTTGGATTCAGCCCCACTGTCCCGCCTCCCTCTCGTTCCTTACACCCTCTTCTTGGAGGCTACCAGTTCGGTTCAGAACAAGTTGCAATCGCCGCATCGCTAACAAAGCCACTCGACGACTGCAAAAATGTGGCCAATGTGCCCCAAGATGAGGCGGGGTGTTGATAGAGGGTAACGGGGAGAGGTTTGTTTGCCTTTGGCTTGGAGTGGGGGTAGAGCTTGCTATATGGGAGAGAGAGAGAGAGAGAGCGGGAGATTGGCTAACTGGCAATTTGAAGACTTGGCCAAGGCAACTCTGGAGGAGAAGCCTGCTTCTGCTTTGCTGCTGCATGCTGCTGTTTTAGCTGCCTCCTCGCATGACAAGTGGCCTGCAACTAAATCGTTGCAACAGCAACAGCAGCAGCAACAACTAGGGAGATTACTATGATTTTGGGAGTATAGAATGCACCGCCACTCAGAGAGCTTCACAATGGGAGGTGATCATTCGATAAATGTACACAAAAAATCGTATTAAATGGGAGGAAAGTGGATGTTGATACTGAAAGAGCCTAAGTTTAGACTGTAACTTAACTCTACACGATGCAATATACCCTTTAAGCTATACCTGACTTAGGGTATCAGAAGAGCAACTTCCACAGCAGCTGTAAGATGAGCTCTGCCACAGAACCTTAGACCAAGACCAAGACCATTCGCCCATAGCTCCTTTCTGCTTAGTTTTTCTCAGTTCTAGGTTCTTTTTGTGCATTTGAAATTTATTGCCCAGACACACAACACAACACACGCACACACACACCCACCCACCCATCAGCAGCAGCACCAGCACTCCCTCCTGCCTTCTCCATCTGTGTCCATCTCGTACTCGCACCCGCAGAGCTCTCCTTCCTTGTGGCTTTACAAAATTGTGTTGGTTAAAAATAACATTTGATGCAATTGAAATTATGCGTATGCCTTGTGCAAAAATATACATACTATATCATGCAGCGCCATCTGTTGTCGGCCTGACCTGAATTTGTGGGTGGCAGTGGCTCGGGAGAGGTGTCGTGGGTGCCTTGTGTGTGGTTTTATTCACCATTTACATAACTTTTTTATTGAGTCTGCTCCTTCATCTTTTGGGAGCAAAGTGCTGAACATGTCAATATGTTTTATGGATATGTTTGTGGCTCTAATTTAATGGAAATTTCGTTTAAAAATTGCAATTTAGAATTTACAATATCTAGAAGGATGGCAGATAGACGAGGAGAAAGTCTCTTAAAGTGTTTAAAGGTGAATGGGAAGTGTAGCTACAATAGCTACAATCAGAATCATTGATGACTACTCCTGTAGTCAAAGAAATAAACCAACTTTAGGCATTGCCATTTGCCATTAGCCCATGTCGGATGTCGGATGTCCGATGTCGTATTTTCGATCACCATCTAAAATAGCATTTGGCTCATTTGCATAGCTCAATGGAAACTTGAATTTCCAATGAATAACATTTGCGATATTCATCCGCTATTATTGAGCAATCAAAAGTGTTCAACTTGAACGCAAAAAAACAAATTTCAAGGGAAATGAGCGACTTCTCAATCTAAATCTCTTCGTATCCGTAACTCCCACCACTGAGATTTTATCTCTGTATGTATATGTTGGCAGAGAACAGGTTGCTTTGGCGTTGAACCAAAAGTGACCGAAAACTCCGAGGCGATTCAATCAATAGAGGGGAAACACGTGAACTTTGAACTGACCTAGCCCACATAGCCCGAGACCGACAGATACCGAAAGACAAAAAAGGGAAACGAATCGTAACGAAAAGTGCAACAAGAAGCATGCAACAAGGGAAAGGTAAACACACAGGCGGCCACGGACAGCGTAAGATACTCGCAACCTCACACCCTCGTCCCTCCTGCAAAGCGACAGCAGACAAAGATACGTCTATATAGCCGCTGCTCAGATACATTTTTTGGGCCATTTGGTCTGGCACTCGAAATGCAATTGGACGCGGGCGTACTCGTAGTATCCCCCGCCCAAAAAAGCAACAACAAAAAGAAGAAGAAAGAAATTCTATATATTGATTTACGCAACGATAAAATGGCACAGACACAGCCATAGTTTGCACTTCACAGATACAGAGACTCTTTTTTTCGGTGTAAGATACAATGCTGATGAAATATTGAAATCAATTGCAGGTTTCTGTTTCGCTTTTTGTTTTCTGTTACTCGTTTTTAAGTCTTTTTTTTATATTTTTTTGGGTTGATTAATTGGCAATGGCCAATGCAAATGTTGTTGGCCTTTTGGCTGTGAGGCACACAGATACAGATGCAGGCAGAGTTACAGCTATGGCCACAGATACACTGCTAGCTGTTGCAAATGCACAGCTACAGCAGCTACAGATACACAGTTACAGATGCATTGTCAACGTTCCAAAACAGCGTATGGCATACAATTTAAAAATGTATCCAAGAGATACATTACACATTACGGCCATGGCTTGCCAAGTCTTGACTTGGAAATTCCCTTCACTGCATTCTTTCCCACACCAAACCAGACAAAGAGCACGCCACAGATATGGAGAGGGTAAGGAAGCCAGCGAGAGAGAGAGAGAGAGAGAGGCAGTGGCCAGAGGCAGTGGCAGTGGCAGGGGCAGAGTCGGAGGTAGTGTGGCAGCGCCTGAGAGTTGTGGCATGCAATGCCCAGAAAGAGACAGACACTGCGAAAGAGAGAGATACGTTTTTGGGCCGTCTTTTGATAGTTTTGGTTAGTTGACTGCAGGGCTTACAACTGACTCTCGGTCTTGGTCCGGAGTCTCAGTCTCAGTCTACCAGTACCAGACCCGTCCCAGTGTAGAGTCTCACTCTCAGTTTGCCGTCGCCGTCGCCGTTGCCATTCGCATTGTCGTAAATTTTATTAGAGTGTTGCCACCCTCCCATCATCCCAGTGCCCCAAGCGACTCCCAGAAACATCATCATCATCATGCAGGAGGCGATGATGATGCGACCTAACACAATTTTACTTAGTTTGCATTTAGCTTATGTCTTTTGTGTTTTACTCACTCAAAATAAAAGAAGATTGCAAAAAAAAAAATCTAACACGAAACATGAAAAGCCAGTTGAATGGATAAACCAACCATGGTGATACCCTCGATTGGGATTCATTGTTTGAATCATTGATTAAAAAAGTATCTACAAGAAGTGTAAGTCTTTCAATTGTTAGATGAATCCTGTTGTAGCCAAACAAAAATATAAACATTTTCCAAATATCATCATTTAGTTTCGTTCCCTACCTTTCCAAAAACCCAACAAACCCCGTTCTACTCTACAAGTACCGGGTATAAAAATACCCATAAAACGTTTCGCATTTCAAAGGCCACACATTATTATTACTTGTGCTGCTTCTTCGTCTTCGTCTTCTTCTACTATTGCTTTTGAGTTTTTTTCAAAAGTTTTCAATTTATTTTTTCTTCTTCGTTTCAGTTGGAGTGTGTGTGGGGGGAAAACTGATACGGACTTGACTTGTCTCGCTGACTTATTGTCGGTCGAGACATTGGCTTAACATAAATGCTTGAGTTTGCGGCTCATTCCAAACCCTCAAAGTGGGTGCTGGTTGCACTGTATGCTCTCGGATTTGTTTTCATTTATGGCATGGATCTTTCCCAACAAAAACGTAGGTGAAAAGACACTGACTTTTGTCAAAGTTCAAATTGTTATCTTCATGAGCCGCAGAATCATAATTGATAAAGACAAGGCGCTCATTTGTATTTTCATAGATTTTCGGCGACTTGCGTTTGTTTTGGTCGGGGGTCTCCTTGGGGTTATCATGGGTCTAAAAATACGAGTATTAAAGCAATTATGCTGCGGCACTGACTGGGATGTCCGCTTTGCTGTGATTTCGCTTTGGGAACTGGGTTCATTGGCCATCCAAAGGTTGCTTATTGGAAGCTGTGAGCTGCTAGAAGATGTGCCGTGCCATGCGTCAGACGGTTTGACTCCATCTGATTTCCATATTGAAATTAATTAATTTAGTATTTCGGTGACGACTCCCTTTCGTAATTCATTTCAAAAACTTCGATATGTGCTTGTGCCTATAATCTCTGCCCAAACAAAAGTCTAAATTCGGAAAGTTACATATGTAAATTCTGTGAAGCTGATTTGAATATCCAATTACATGGGAATTCGTGATTTGTCGAAAAACAACAACAGAACAGAAGAACATTTGCGTTTTCGGCTGCTACCAAAATGCACTCAATAATAATTGGCAAAGCGCCTCCCTCATTGATGGAAACCAAATTGAAATTCCATCGAAAAGTGCCCCAAAAAGGGGAATTCACACTGAATTCAAAACTCAAACACGATGTGAATGTGGTGTTTGGTGGCCAATAATTACGAATATATTTTCCAAAGTAAAGAGCTGCGGCCGTGCTGCAACTCTCGGTCTCTCTTACGACATTTCTCTTTGCTTTCGAAAACACTCTCTTTAGCCACACAAAATGCACCGAACGAATGCCGGTTTTCGGGCGGGAGTGTGTGTGCGTGTGCATGTGTGTGGGCCTTTACTACGTTCTCCTCTCGCGCGTATCTCTCAGATACATTACGCTCTCTCTCACGTGTAGTAGTAGTAAAACATGACATATGCGGGGCCCCTAGCGTCGTGGCGGCCTTCTCCCTTCCAGCGCGCCGTTCCAGACCGACTCAAGAGATACGTTTCGGACCAACTTCTGCTCTGCTCTCGCCAGCGTTGTTCGTGTTTATTCGTGTCGCTTCCGCCGCTTCGAATGCGACTCTGAGACCTCAGACTCGAACGGCGACCGAATAGTCCGAATTTTACTCTCAAACTGTACGGTTTGACAGCAGCGCAGTTGATAGCAGAATAACAGTATCGCAGAGAGAGTGCAGAGAGGTGGTAGGCAGGGCAAAGGCAGCGCGTCGTGTATTTTCTTCTTTCTTCCTTCAACAAAATCTGCCACACTGCCACAAAAAACAACAACAGTTGTTCCACAGAGAGCGAGCGAGAAAGAGTATCCAAAAGTTTAAACAATTTAAAGTGAGTGTTGAAAAAAGTGCAAAAGATACAAGAAAACGAAACAACAAATAACCAAAAAAACCAGTAGATTTCAATCGAATATATAATTAATAGAGTATCATAAAAAGCCACTTAATAAAGTGCCACAAAAACTAAGTTAAATCAAACTTAAATAAATAACAATAAGAAAACACGTCAGTAAAATCAAGTAGAACACAAATCATGGCTTTAAAAAAAAACCACTTCAACTCAGCCCGAAGAGAGCCATAAAATCCACTTGAATGCAAAAATATCTTTGAAAATATAAACTGAAATTTCGAATAATAACTGTTTACGAGTATTGTTATTTTCGGCTGACATCCTGTTCTTTTGTGCTGAAATTCGCATCACAAAAAAATACTGCTACATAATAATCATCATCATAATAATCGTAATAATCATAAATAATAACAACAATTTTCGTGTGACAAAAAACAGAATGGAAGCAACAAAAAAGAAACGGGCCAACCATTCACCATACACATTTTTCAATTGTAATTTCCGGTGTAGCGGAATTTCGCTGTGCATTGTCTCTGTCTAACTGTGGGTGGATTGACTGTGTGTGGGAGTGAGAGAATCGAGAATAATCCCAAAAAGAAGAGTGGAAGAAAAACATTAAAGAAGAGCTATCGCAAAGCATAAACAGAGAAAAATATGGGAACATAGAAAGAGCCCTAAAATCCGAACACCACATAAAATGCAAATAAAATAGACCCAAGACAATAGTCAAATTTGGTTTATGGAATTGTTATCCCATTCTTAATTGAGGTTACATAAAAAGTCTTAAAGCAGCAACCAAAGCTACTAAAACATTTCTGGGCTCACCACAAAACAACCCAATACATAACCGAGTATAAACAATGTTTGTTACATTTTGTTTGGTTTGGTTTTTACACAAAATAAAACAAACGATTCAATTTTTCAGTTAAATAAATATAAACGATTTAATGGGCGATTCTAATCGCCTTATTCTCCAGACTTTGCATGTGGTTAGACTTGAATTCAATAAATAAACGAATGTTTGGAATTATTCTATTAAACAAATCCAATTTAATTTCAATTCCGTTTAGCTAAATGGAACCAAACCTTGTTATACAAACATGAACTTTGATCTCATGAATACCTCCATCAATTACGAGGACTTATCTGTAATAGCCCACCAATAAGTGGCCATAAACTTCAACTTTAATGGCCCTTTCCCTGCACCCTATCGTCAACGAATTCAGTTCCCTCACTGACCTAACCTAATCAGAGTCAATATTTATTTATCTGAAGCAGAAAACTTTAACCAACGTGGAGCAACATATTTTACGTTTTATCTGGTTGATACTTTAAATAAGCCAGCCATCAATCGGCTAAGAAAACTTTCTGACAAGGCCGCAAAACTTCGATTAAACAGTACCCCGAAAAAGCATTCCAGGAACGGGGCATTCCACTCTCCTCAACTGTCAGCTAATTAACATGGAAATTTCTCGACCCCACGAGCAAAATATATGTACGAGTACACGAGTATGGTTCACTTGAAGCAAAAGTTTTTCCTTTAGATACAGAAGGGCGGTGTATGGAGGAAGCGCCATAAGTTTTCAGAATTTATTGAGTCGACAGCCAGCCGTGCATAAATGAAGCTTTCTATCAATAGATGGAGCAAAAAGAAAAGAGAGAATGAGAGAATACGAATGGGAAAAACATATTCAAGTACTAGTAGATAGAAAGATACAAGAACCAAACACAAACATTGCGTAGAAAAAAATACTTACATTTAATTCTACTTGCTGCCAAAGACTTAATTATAAACAATAGATATTTTATCTTTGCTTCAAAGTAACCTCAATTTGTGTGTGGATCAAGCATCGGCATACCTTATATCCACATATTTCATTTAAATTTCAGTCTGTGGGCTACAGTGCAATACCAAAACGAACACTAGAACATTCCAACTAAAAGTTGCTTAACCCTTGATCCAAGTGCAATAAAGAAAAACTAAAATCACCTACAAAAAATCAACGAAAAGTTTTTTGTGACGCTGTGTTCATTTTTTTGCTTATAAAAACATAAAGAAAAAATCAAAATCCAATTAACTTTTATATTCCTCAGCGTTAAGCAAACGCTACTCAAAAAATAAAAAAAATCATCGAAATATAAACTTAATAGTGATTTAAAAATAAACATTGCTGCAATACAAATTTTGTGCAATTTAAATTTAAACAACAAACAATAACAAGAAACCTTGAAAAGGTCAACGGATTTTTGCTAAATCAAAATCAAAAACATAAACAAAAACTTTCAAAATCAAATTACTGGAAAAAGGTTTATAAAATACAACACAATTTTCAACTATTCAAGTGCTAAATACAGTTTAAATAAATCAAAATAAAATACATTCGCTGAGACGGATTACAATTAAGACTTTTCCTGCAAATTTGTTCATCTTTGTAAGTATATATTTTAGATATAATATATGACATAATGAAACCAATCCAAAAACGTTAAATCTCTGCTGTTTTATGGGTTTTTTTTCTCTGAAAATATTTGCAATTAAAATTAGAGTCTGGGTTCAAGTATCAGTTCTGAGAAAAGGGGTAATTGTGAGCATTCATTATACAGAAGGCCTAGTGTTTGTCGAACATCATTAATATCACTTACTGATCTGTTAATTGAAACTCAATCGAACTTAGTACATTCACAATTGCTGACCCATTTCTAGGTCATTGTTTGAGTTTTTAGCATGTTCGCTTTGGAGGATTCCCTTTTCTTTCTAGCTACAGGGGGACTCCCACATGCCAGAGTAATTCTCACATAAGAGGCTTAGTAGACAAACGAAATCCCCGCTCACGGCACAGGCCATCCAATAAATTTAACTCAATTGCACAAACATTCCCCAATGACTGACCGTTGATTGTTGTTGTTGTGGCTGAGTGTTGTTGAGGCTTTCGTGTGAGCTTTTATCTGCGCTGAGATTCAGAGGGTGAGGCGACCCAGCAAGTTTATTGTTTTTGCCCATGATAACAGAAACAACGAACATGCAATTTTGTAATTATAAATGTTACGGTCTGTTTGAGAAGAGCTTTGAGAATATTTTGGATTCAGTTGGGCCACGAGAAGAGAGGGACAGATACCGATACAGATACAGATACATTCCTTGCCATGCTCGTGGTGCAGCCTAACTGTTGATCATTTCCGGCTGGAAATTATTTATTTTGGCCAACTGTTGTCCAAGCCTGTGTCTGAGGTCAGCGAACCCCCGCCAGTGCCAGTCCCATTCCCAGTTGCGTGTTTGCTTAGGCCCACAAAATCCCACAAGATCTTCGGATGGAAGAGCAAGTGGAATAGCCGCTGCGGGTATTGACTTTCAACTTAGTTCAGTGCCACAACTTTTGGGGCCCACACACACCTCTCAATTATCATTCTTTTCGCTTTATCTTTTGTCGTTTCTTCACCTTTACCCAATTTCATTCTCAGTTTTCAGGGCGCACCCCCAAAAGAGGGAAAGAGAAAAAGAGTAGAGATAAAAGAACGAGAAATTAACATAATCAAATTTACTTTTACGTCGCGAACACGTTTCGTAGCTGGGAGAGAGAAAAGTAAAAACTATTATTTCATTTTCGTGTCAGTCAGCACAATGCCCCAACAAATGGCATTGATATATTGACATGCTCTCGTATATTTACACATGCCAAATATCAACGGAAAGGGCTTTGAAGTGGCCATTCAATCTATATATAGTAGTGGTTCTATAAACAGATTATGGCCCGAGTATCGATTGCTATCAAAGCACATTTAGTTTGGGTTTCTAGCTTATTTAGTTGTGTATATTTAGTTTATAGTTTTGTTATGGCTTCTTCAGAATATTCTGATTAAGGCTTGTTGATCCGTTTTGCTTTGAATTTCACTTCAATGTTTCTTTGAAAAAATCTAAATTACATGTAGCTGACGAGGAATGTGTCACAGCCATCGCCGACTCAGTTGTAGCGACATCAATAAAAAGCTCTCTACGTGCTTGCAATGGCCGAAACCAAAATGCCCACCGCCAGATCAGCGGATGTGCGATGTCCTCCAACGGAGAGGATTTCCACGCATCGCAAAAGACTGTCGTTGGCACTACTGGAGTCATCGCAACGATGTGGTCATACAGCAACTCGCGAATCTACTCCAAGGATGCCCCGAGAAGGTCGCCGGCTTTCTGTACGACCTCACATTGCAAAACTACAATCGGCTGCTCCATCCCAAGCGCTGTGGCTACAATGCCTGTCACGTTCCCTACTGTCATCCGTATACCTGTGAACGCTACAAGGGTATCTTCGATGAGTACGGAAATCTAAGGGATCCCACCCATCCTAAAAGTCTATTCAAGCTTCTGGAAATATTACAGAATTTTCTAAAAGGTGAAACTTCTGGATGTGTCCCATTGCCCTTCGATTCCAGTCTCAAAGAAGGCAAGCAAATATCCCATGTAGGCTACCAAGTATTTAGACCAATGGCTGCGGTGGCAAGGTGTTATGGAATGGACTCTAAAGTATTAAAAGAAGCCCTTGGACCAGGCTACCAAAGGACTGCTTCCAGCCAAAAACCAGAAGACTTCCCGTCTACCCATCAAGCTTCAAGAAAACCAAAACAACTTCAAGAAACCAATGGATCTATGAGAAAAGAAGAACAACTTGAACCAAATGGGCAACATATAAAAGAGTTTCCAATGATCCAACGGTATAAGGTGCCGAGCAGTAAGGAGCCTGATAATATCTCGAGCGACTCGTCGATCGACTTGATGGACGAGAAGGGACGTCGTCGCGGCATGGGTAGTCATTGCAATCAGCTCGGGGGTCTACGCTTCGAGCAGGCCAAGCAGCTGAGAGTTCTCATTCAAGCCTTGAACGAGAAGCGTGGCCTGGACAAGAATCATCAAAAGATCATCACAGCCCTGGCCCATGTCGATTTAGAGGATGATAAAAAAAAGGCCAAATATGAAAAATCTCGTCGTAATGAGGCGTTTGCTTTACTCTCAAAGTTTTACTCGACCACCGTGAGCGATGATACGGAAAAGATTAGGCCACCCACTCCGCACCGACGCCCCCGAAAATTGTATGGCGAACCGATGCCGGTTTTGTACCACGAACCATTCGATTCGACCAAGGAGTGGACGTGGATCCGCCGCCATCCAAGCCAGAACCGTCTGCTGCCCAATGGTCTGGTGGGATTCGCAGAGATCAGGCGCTACAAGCGCCAATCCATACAGAAGGCCATCGAGAAGGAGCGTGTACGATGGTCCATACACAGCACGTTGAGTCTGTCGAATTCTCCCACAAGGCATCGAAGTTCCTTCAATTCTGTGCTCATGGGGTCAAAGAAACCCAAGAAATAAAATTCGTTCCAAGTTAGTTTGTTCTTAGTCCTTCGTCGAGACAGAACCAAAATTTGTGGCACACAAAAATAAAACATCAACAAAATTTAAAATTTTTTTATCTTTTTTGGATACTTTTTGTCTTTGCCCAAACAACATGTCTCGATCGTGTTGTCGAACTAGTCAACGACGCTCGGATCCAACGGGCTGCATTCCCTGGTATCCTCGAATGGAGCCCGTTAGAAGCTGCTCCTGTCAATCGCCCCAGGGGCAATGGTGGAAACGGAACTGTGGCACCATCCAGGTGCTGGCCAACGCGGTCGACCAGTCCGCGTCGAGTGTTTGTACTTTCCTCTATCAACTCACACTGAACCTGTTCAGTCGGATCCTGAACCCTTTGACCATGGGCTGGAATACGCGCAAAGTGCCCTTCGTCATGTCCAATACCTTTGAGCTATACTACGGGATTTTCGATGAGAACGGCGACCTGAGGCGGCCCATGCCGGCAAGAATGTTCCTGCTGTTGCTCATCATTATGCAGCGCTTCCTCTGCCTCCCATGTCGAATGATAAGACCAAGGGCCAAGTGTGGACACAGTCCCATCATGCATTGTACGAGCGGAATGGGAGTGTTTGGCAAGCTGAATCATGGAATTGCATATAACACGCCCCACAAGGTTACGGCGTCTACAGATATTCGGGACGGACTGAGAAGATTGGGAATGAGAAGATTTTCGTCGCAACACTCACTCGATTCGGATGACATGCCGTACGGATATGCACCTGCTATTTGTTGTTGCAGGGGACCCGGCACTTCTGGACCTCTGCCCAAAAGTCTAAGACCCACGCCAGGCTATGGCAAATCGGAAAGCGAAGCTCAACAGGAATGCGAGAAAGCATACCAAGATGCTAGGGATCCCATTGCTACAGTTTGTCCACAGCGATCACTTAGTCCCAGGCAATTCAAGAGTCTAGAAATGAAAAGCCTTTCTGACTTCTACGGAGCAGTTTGCCAGGGCAAGTACAACATTCGGCTTTTGGACGATCTTCGTCAAAAGAGTCCGAGGATAACTCCATGCGAGAAGCGTATCCAACGACGAGTTGAAGGTGGACACATACCTATTCTGTTGCAGAAACCCTTGCAGAATACAGCATTACCCTGGAGATGTAAGTCTCCATACAGCATACACCAACAGCTGAGTCGAGGTGTCGGTGGCCAGACAAGGGATGAGGACTATCCAAAATACAATAATGGAAATGTCGTGCGTGGCACCAACTCAACTGATAACAACAACCTCGGGTTCCGTCGCAATCGGATGCAGGCCATTGAGTATAGGAAGGAAACATCCGAGAGGATAAACCCATACATGGAGGGTTCGTCTGGCGACAACAAGTTAGATGCACCAATTAGAAAAGCGACTGATGCCGAACAGTTCCATAAGCTAAAATCAATTCTAATGAGAATTGCAATGAGTAAACAAAAGTGCACCGAAAACGGTTCGATGCAGATACAAAAAAATCGAGTGGATGGAAAAGAACAGTCGAATGAAATGGTCAAGCGAGGACACTCCTTCACGGAGAAACGACTGAGCCAACACTCGACCAAGTCATCTATACTTAGATCCGAAGACTTGCAGAAAAGCGATCGAAAGAAAAGCGTCAGATTCACAAATTCTATCGAAGAAGGCATCGTAAAAGAACAGTCCTTGTTGGGAAACTCAAAGCGTCGACAAAGATACTGTAGTCCAAAGGATCAGAAGGTCAGAAGAATGCAAGTGGATCCCAGAACCGAAAACCTGCAGCTGCATAATATACTCAAGCGAGGACACCGTTCCCTGGAGAAAGACTACGAACAAAAGAGAGTCAAGCCCGTGGAAAGTAGGAAGCAAAAGGCTGAAAGGCTTCAAGCCCTGAAGAGAGCTGAAAGGCAAGAGGCCGGTTCAAGCGATAGAATGTCTCAAAGGGACTCTGAACGGACCTGGACAGTTGAGGATGAGATCCGAGTACGAAAGAAGTTCGCAAATGGCTTGTTTAAGTTACAATTGTAACCATCAACGGCAAACACGGAAGAAATATCTAAGCAAACCAAATTTCGATCTATAAGCACATCGTAAAACAAGACCTTAAGAGCACAAATTATAATTTTGGAATTATATTTAGTGGTTTATCGTGTTTGAAAGGCCAAAATAAAGTGTCTATAAATCACGCGCAACGGACTAATTATTGCTCAGTTTCTATGGTGCATCGGAGTGGTGCATGTGGCCGTCGCGGATGCTCTTCATTCAACCAATTACGAGTATCCCTGGCTCTCTGTCCACCTACGCTTAGTGCCCATGTGCCCCTGTGGCCTCGCCTGGCGGCCGCAACATTGCAGCATAGTTGCGGCAAAGTCTGCTCCGCTTTTCATTTCGGGTCTAGTCTTCTATTCGTGTGATGATGATGATGATGATGATGCGGCTGATGCTGCAGGATTTCGCTTAAAAGCATTTCACATTTACCCTTCCAACAACCCTTCCTTTAAGCCTGCCGCATCCGTCTAGTTTAGTTTACTATTCCCCCGTGTTGCGGGGCTGATTTAAAATTTTCTTTTTGCTTTTTGGGCGGGGTGTGTTTGTGGCGTAGTTTATTTGAATATTTTTGTGCACTACGCAGATGTTAGAGCTTCGTTTTTGCTCATTTTGACGCATTTAGTTTACTTTGGGGTGCCATAATGTTCTCCTCCTCGTCGTCGTCGGCGTCGTCGACGTTTATCTATAGGTCTGTGGGCCTCAGCCTCGAGCCGGAGGCCATAAGCCAAAGGGCAAACGGTTTGTGGCTAAAACGCAATTTTGCTGGTAAAGACGGAGCAGCGCGTGTTGGTAACAAGTGCCGCTTACTTTGTTGGCCTCTGAGTGGGGTTTACAACCCAAGTGGGCACCCAGACAGGCAGGCAGGCATTTCAACTTGTTTGCTAGCTCTTTGGCTGCTTAACGTTTTTGGGGTTCAGTTGGGGCTTGGTTGGTGCGAGCCGCATGGATTTAAGACAAACAGATTAGATATTCATATGAGATTTAAGTGAAGCAAATCCCAGAGTTTTCTGTATACATTTTGAATAAATTGCCTATGAAATGGGTAGAAAATGGTTTCAAGTGTGAGCTTCAAGTTTCTTAGAGATTTTGTTTATCTTGGAGAAGTCTTGAGCTTAGATTTCAATGGCGATGCTGGGGTATTACGAAAAGGATTACCTTTAAGGATTTGAGATGCTCTTTAAAGTTTTAGAAATTGGTGCCACTAGGATAGCTCTAACAAGAGCCGAGACCCCTTGGGGACATACCACCAACAGTTTGTTCCACCAACTGTCCTTGGCTCTTTACCAGTCCATTTTGGCCTCACCCTCTGTCTTGCTCTCTCTCTTTGTTGCACACTGTCGCCATAGTTCTTATCAGTCTGATGGGACTGTGATGATAATAATTCAGAGTCAAATATCTCGCGACGTCTAGTGGCCAAGACATGATTTATGGCATTCCATTCGAGACTTAAACAATACGATAATTATTTATTAGAGTGGAGCTCGCTCTCTGCAATCCCGCTGGTACTTTGTATACGATACAGACCCACAAAACGGACAAACATACAATATAAATAATAAGTTTTTGTTTGGCTGCAGTGGCTTTGGACCCAGTCCTGCTACCACTTCTCCCCACCACCCCACTCATGCGGCAATTTATAATGTTGAGTGCCAAGCAGTTAGGAGGGATATCTATATGTGTACTATGGTATGATGGTATATAACGCTGGAGAGAGAGAGAGAGAGAGAGATAGAGAGAGTAACCAAACGGGCAGGCAGACAGACAAGAGTCGCCCTGACAAAACCAGTTGGAAATGGCCTGGCAAATGGAATTTATTGCAATAGAGTGCTGAAAACTAAATCATCATCTTCCAGTCTAAGGCTTCGGCAAACAGCAACAGTAACAATAGTAGGGCCGCAAAAGAGGAGACACAATTGATACACTCTCTGGCCACCAACTACCAGCTACAATACCATCTACCAGCTCATTTAATATTTATGCGCATTTAGCCGGGGCACTTTTTCTATACAAAATCGCAAGGAGCGGAGGGAATCCGAGAGGGGAGCTGGGAATAATAGTAGTAGTTTCGGTTGGCCCATGCGTAAATATGCGCAAAATAAATACATTTTTTATCTCCGTTTTATTATATCTGTAGTTTTTTTTCTCTTGACTTGGCTCGACTTTGCTCTGCCTGTCGGCATAAATTATGCACATATCTGGGAAATATTTAACGCCTCTCCGCAAAAAGAGAGAGAGAGAGAGAGAGTAAAGGATCTCTACCCGTAAAGGATAACCCCTAGAACAAACCTCAAGCAGGCATCTATGATATAAAACTAAATTGGTTGTCCAGTTTTTGGCTTTGGTTTGCTTTGCTTTCGTTAGTTTGGGTTCGTTCCATTCCCCAACATCCCAACATCCGTAGTTCCGCATTTTGTTTCCCCATTTCTTTTTTTCTGTCCGTTTTTTTCCTCTGCCTCGTGCCGAGCAGCGAGTCCGTCGTTCAAGCTGTGGCATAATTTTTACGCATTTGCTCGGGGTCGCCGCAGAAGTGTTGATAAAGAGGGTGGGCTAAATGGGGGCATAGAGTGGGGTGGGCGTGGCACACGCATACACTTCCTGCTCCAATCGAAAGAAATGAAATAAATGAAGAAAAATGGTAAAGATGCTGGAACAAACAAAAAAAACACACAAAAAGTTAAACAATTCATGGTCGAAGCTTTATGCTTTATACGCAAAACTTTGAGTTTTGATTTCTGTTTGTCAGAGAAGCAGAAGCAGCGGCAGCGGCAGTGGCAGTGGCAGCAGCGCTAACGCAATGCTTGCCACACACACATTTTTTGTGTGTGTGTTTTTTTTTTGTTTTTTTGGTGTATGAACGCTTATCTACGCCGGCTGCCAAGACGCAGACAACGCACATTGCCACACGCGCCTCACACTCGCTCTGACAGAAAACATTGAAATGAGCTACAATGATGGTTGCATGCTCTTAC